CAAACCTTTATGGTTTTCTTTCTTTCTGTTTACTATGCAAGAAGATATTTTGAAGAATGTTTAGAGACTGGTAACCATTGACTTCCATAGCATGAAAAACAACATATTTGAGCTGATCATAGTTGCATCTCACTCTAAAACATGATTTAAAAATCCTCAAAGCTTCAGCTGATGCTATTTTAATTTTTTTTTATTTTTTAACATATATATATATATATATACAAATAAATACAAATATATATATTTGTTGTCATGTAAATAATCACCATTCACATGCAAAAGCAAATAAAATGCTGTTTTATGCATGGCAGGTTAATACTTTTGGAAGGAATTTTGAGTTTGCAAAGAAACACTATGCGTCAGAAGCCAATCATATGCAGTCAGAGCCGGAAAAACATTTGATCCGTTTATCTCTCGAGTCTTTGGTTTGAGTTGTTTGTTCATCACGTGAAAAACAGAAGCCAATCATATCCATTTAGCGCGGGAAAAAGATTAGATCTGTTCATTTCTTGATTCTACGTTTTTGAGTCATCTCTCTTTACATGCTGTCACATGATGAACGGACGACTCAAAAAAAACTCAAAAACTCAAAAGGTGAACTAATCATAGGTGTTTCCGATTTAGACTGTACGCATTGATGATGCTTATATACTGTATGACTGTCAGTGTCAGGTGAACGAACGACTCATATCTGAAGACATGCCAGAAGAGGTGAGCAGAGCTAATCATAGATAAAACAGCAGGTAAACAATGAATGATTCTTTTCTCTTTCTTATTGTATTGTATAGTAGCAATCTAGTTATGACTGATGTTTGTAGTGTTATCAGCGTTTGGGCTAGTTGTAGATGAGTTTGGAAACATCTTGTAACATTTTAATGTTATTTTGGCAAATTGAAGGAAATGACCTGGAAAAAAAAGATTCAACTTGATGAAAGGTCCAAGTGATTAAAATGACCCAAACTTCCCATCACTATCAAATACTCCCACATGACAATAGAATGAAAATTTAATAAATGTAAATGACTTCACTGTTTTCAAAAAAAAATATATATATATATTTTTTTTTTGTAGTTTAGATTAAATGATAATGGTATAGTTATAAAGGGATAGAGTGTCCATAAAGTGTTTACGTGAAATGTCAGCTCAAAATACCACACAAATAATATTTATTACTTATTGAAACTGCTTTTTTTATGCTTTGATCTTAATTGTACCATGCCTGTCACTTTAAACTCAAATAAGATCCTTTTTTCAATACCGGGCGGAGCTACAAATGCCTGTGTGTCAGCATAGTGGCAGATTTAAAAACATGACTAATGTCCTATGCAAATGAGCGAGAGATCGTCACTAATGGGTGGGGCTTTGCTCCTCTAATGACATGTACAAATCTAGAATGTCTATCAAAGGGTTTCTCCAGACTGTTTTTATCAAGTGTGATTATAAAAAAGAAAATTATTACATTTATTACAATTATTACATTATTACATACCTGCCACTAGAAGTTGGGTACCACGTAACTATGATTAAACCCCTTATGAAAGTGATTTTTGCATAATAGGTCCCCTTTAAACACTCCCAAAACACTTTAGCCATGTAAATGAAGTCTTCAAAAAGACAATCTTGTGTTGTTTTTTAACAATTTGACGTGTAAACATCACTTTGGTGTAGGTTGTATGTTATTTTCTAGCTTGTTAAAGTTGTAGCTTTGTAGGCCACTTTTCACTCATTTGATTTATGAGTTGCCATATTCATGCTTATGGGTTTTAGAGAAAATTAAACGCTTTTAGTACCTCTCACTTGACATTTCACTTCAAAACCACTGCGAAACACAATCTAATTGTTGCACAGATGTTGTTTTTGGACCACTGTGCATTCAAGCTGAGTGCATGTGACTCACTTGTTTAAATTGGACCCGATATCCTGTTTTTAATAGCCCTAAAAATAGCAAGGCACGTACGAAAGGTCCAGGTAAAAAAAAAAAAAAAACATACAGTTACATAACAAAGAACAAAAAAAATGTCCTGTCTGGACAAGAAACTCCAGGGCAAGAGGTGGCTGTAACCCTTCATCGAACCCAGCTAATCTCGAGCTGCATCTGCATTCTGGAGCCTCATTTTTAGATTAGTTGATGCTCGAGTCTTACAGCTAATCCACATAATTCAGCCTGTGGAATCTGCAGTGCTGTCGCGTAGATCTGCCGTCTCAAAGTAAACTAAAGCAAATTCTGGAGCTGCATTGGATGCCAGTGTCAAGGCTTCAGCCTGTTCTGACAAAGAGAAACACCAGGTGTTCAGGATTCCTCACCTGTTCCAAATCGCACGCTCCGGCGCCAACTGTGATTGGAATATTTAGCAGAATACTGTGCTTTTTAGACTCATTTGATGTCCTGGCTGTATTTTATAGAGGATAGAGGGTGATTCAGACAATAAATATGATTAAACTCCTCGGAATAGGCAGCGATTCAAACAAATACGTAAATGTGTCATACAAATGAACGTGAGCCAGACAGACACGGGTCAAAGCTCATTATGAATGCCACACACACCTCATATTACAACACACCTCCCAGCTACCGTTTCATACTATCTGGTTTTATTCCCACACTACTGTGTCTGCATGCATATTTATCCTCTCCGTGTGAAAAATCTATGTAAGTGCTTTTAAAGTGCAATGAAAGTTGCTGTTGTTGTTGCACATTTGATTTTTTTTGCATGTCTTGTGTACATTTCGTTAATGTATGATTTTTTTTTTTTACATTCAGTGCAAGGCTACTGTGGTTTCGTTACATTTTACTTGAAGTGGCAGCTTACCCTTTTACCTACACAGCGCTTCTGTAGCTTCCCTGCGCAGAAATGACAGGAATGCTCTCATGTTTGTGTCTCCGCACCTGTTGAGATCTACTTGTTCAGGATGCGTGTAGGAGGAACATTTGCATATTGTGTACAGAGTTGTTGCGTGGATGCACTGCTTTGATGGATTTAGGAATAGTTCTGGTGCTAAATGTTGATTGCATTGCAGTAATTCCAGCCATTGCATTTGTAAAATTTTTATTTAATGTACAATTTTTTTAAATAGCTTCTGAATTAGAGCTGTGATATAAATCAGATGGACTAAAAAAGTGAATTGTTACATATTGTGCTCTATTTTATTTTGTGGTGTTGCAAAATATTATATTTATGGTAATACTTTTCCTCATTTGCATAAGTGCAATCTGACACACCACCACAGGGATGCAGGAAGAAATGTGAATAACAGCATGGCCAGAAAGTTGCTATTTTGAAGAAAGTTATTTTGCATTTTATTTACCAATATTTTATGTTGGACCTGTAATTAATAGTTTTTGATAAATGTTTTATATGTCATTCATGTTTATGTTATATTTCTACATTCTTAATCAAACATTTTCCTAAAAGTTCTAAATAGAGTAAGAAAAATTATCACTATGAACGAGTACATTTTTGAATATATACAGTGCTCAGCATAATTGAGTACACCCATTGCACATTAAGTGCACATTTTGAAAACTAATCTTTTCACAGGGAATGTAGCCACTTTGGTGCATTTAAACAAAACAGATTTATTCAACAGATATTTTTGTTAAAATTATATTTTAGTCACCAAACATATTTAGAAATTGAAAGATGATACAATTAAATTTAAGCAAAACATCTAAAAAAAATTACAACCTACAAAATTTCAGCTAAATATTTCCAATGTATTTGCTTCTCCTGATTTTTCCTCTTTTTAAATTTTTTTATTTAATATTTTTTTAATTCTTTTGACCGTTATCCTAAGTTATTTTGATAAACCTCAGATTTGGCTTCACTGACTAATCTAATGTATATGCACAAATGTAATGTTGTTAAGCTTCCTATTAAATATCTGAATTTAAAAGATAGATTTGTGAGAGGTCTACTTATAGTTGCTTAGCACTGTATATTTTAAAATGTACAAAAAAAAAATATTGTGTGTGTGTGTGTGCGTGCGTGCGTGCGTGTGTTTGTGTAGCCACGTAATGTGCGTTTTCAGCTGACAGTGTGGATGGAGATCTTTTAAGAAATGTCAGGTAAAACACCAGTGTGGACGTAAATCGTTTTTATTCTAAAACAGTTTTAAAACTGAAATGTATTAGTGTAAACAGGGCCTTAGACATGATGTGTAAACGGCCCCTAAAGGGTTACTTTTTTATTTTTATTGTGCTTCATATGATAAAGATTATGTCAAATCATCAGCTTTAATTTAGAATTAATGCATGTAATTATGCATCAGTTACTGTTCTGTTGCAACTGTAGTAGCAACTAAATTATGTGGAACAGGGGCACTATGAAATAAATTCTAATTGTTGAATTTTGGTTTATTTATTTATTTTATAATTTTATTTCATTTTCCTTTCCTTTGTTCATTTATTTTTTTCATCCTTTTTCTTTCTTTCTTTCTTTCTTTCTTTCTTTCTTTCTTTCTTTCTTTCTTTCTTTCTTTCTTTCTTTCTTTCTTTCTCCCTCTCTTTCTTTTAGGCTATTACACTTTTATTCCAGTTCTCAATAGTGAATTTCATTGTCAATTGTCCCTTTTGTTCAAAATGAGAAACTATTTATGTTGCTTTTATGAAATGTGAGAGACTGAAACCTTCATTTTTACTTTGGGAAAATAATGTTACATTCTTTAATTAAATTTTTTGTATGAGAATTTTTATTTTAAAAAATAAATTAAAATGTTGAAATTTTGATTATATGAGCAGAGAAAATAAGGTAGAAAGGTTGTAGAAATTAGGAAGATGTGGTGGTATGCAGTATAATTAAATGCTTTCTTTTATTTGCAGTTACATTTAATATTCTTTCCAGTGTTTCAGTGTACTTCCCATAACAATGACCGTAAATCATTTGAAAGGACGAAGCATTGAGCTGTGACCGTGTTTGTAGGACACTTCACATAAATAAGGGACACATCACAGTGCTACGTGACTGTTTGCTAAATAGCTCTCTGTGTTTCTTTCTCTGTAGTGCTGCTGCATGAGGAGGTGCTGCGTCTACAGGAGGAGGTGTCCGTGTTGAAGCAGGTCAGGGAGATGTTGAACCGGGAGCTGGAGGAGACAGGAGGAGGCTGCTCTGTGGAGCTGATGTCCGTCTCTCAGCTCCGAGTGCAGCTCACACAGAAGGAGCAGGAGTTGGACAGAGCCAAGGAGGCACTGCAAGGTGAGAACCAACACCATCAGCTTGACCTTTCACCTGCAGCTCCCAGTAAACAGTGTAGACCTGTTCAGTTCAACTAAACTGTACTGTTGAAAACCCTAAATGTGTGCTCTTAAAAGATTCTGACAAAACATAATCTTTTGCGTCATACATTTATTGAATTTATAGATTTATAGTGATTCGTAAGATTTACATTTTATTTTTAAAATGTCACTTGCATTCATTTATTTTTGGAGAATTATTATTAATATTAGATTAATATATAATGTATTATTATTATATTATTATAATAATTATTATATTATATTATATTATATTATATTATATTATATTATATTATATTATATTATATTATATTATATTATATTATATTATTCTTTTTCCTTCTGCTTAGTCCCTTAGCTGCAACCCAGTACTGGGAAACATTCAAACACCCTCATACACTACGGCCAATTTAGTTTATTCAATTCACCTACACCATATATATGTCTTTTGACTGAAGGGGAAACTGGAGCACCCGGATATTATATTATATTATATTATATTATATTATATTATATTATATTATATTATATTATATTATATTATATTAGATTAGATTAGATTAGATTAGATTAGATTAGATTAAATTAGATTAGGTTAGATTAGGTTAGATTTAATGCTGGGAAAAGATTAATCGTGATTAATTGCATCCAAAATAAAAGTTTGTTTTGACATAATATATGTGTATATGTGTATTATACAGTATAATACACACATAGATAGAAAAAATTCACATTTGTAGATTGTAAATTATATATATTTCATCTATGTTACATCTAAAAATAAATAAACTATTTATCAAAATTAATGCATGCATGTGTGTATTTCTATATATACATAACAAATATGCATAGTATGCACACCTAAATGATATCAAAACAACTTTTATTTTGAATGAGATTATTTCTGAATAGTTTTTGCCCAGCACTAATTATTTAATTTAATTTAATTTAATTTAATTTATTTTTTATTTTATTTTTATTTTTTTGGTCTCAGTCTCTTTAATAATCTGGGGTTGGAATGAACCGCCAATTTATCCAGCATATGCTTTATGCACCGGATGCCCTTCCAGCTGCAACCCATCTCTGGGAAACATCCATACAATCTAATTTACACATACACTACGGACAATTTAGCCTAACCAATTCACCTGTACCGCATGTCTTTGGACTGTGTGGGAAACAGGAGCACTTGGAGGAAACCCATGTGAATGCAGGGAGAACATGCAAACTCCATATTTCATTTTATGTTATTTTATTTTATTTTATTTTATAAAAAAAATAATGTTATATGTTCATTTGCATGCATACACTACACATCAAAAAGAAAATAAATGCAAATGTATAGTAAAACAAAAAAAAACTGCTGTGGTTGTCAAAATTTTACCACTAAAAATAATTTCTACATTTACAAGAATGTGTTTCATTACTTTATATAGTGTTAATTCACCAATGTTTTAATTGAATTACTACAATGAATTATTTGTACTAATATATAATACACATTGTATCGTTTTTTTTACAAAAAAAAAACATCCAAAAGCAGGTAGTGCTGCTAATGATATTACATTGTATTATCAACAGCAACAAAACTAAAAAGTTTTAAGTATCATTCAAGGAATTCTCAGAAAGTCCATTCAGTTATTCACCATAAATATTAAGGAACCTTAAACTATTAACCAAATAACAGATTGTTACTGTGACATTTTTACAGTTTTACCATTAAAATCACATACATTTTAATTAAAATTACATAGTTCACTGTATTGTTTGTAAAAAAACAAAAAACAAAAAAAAAAACATGAAATATAAAACTCCTAAAGGCCTAAAACTAAATATAATTGACCAGCTTGTCCAATCTACATGAGGACCCAACATCACATTTTAATGAAAAGTCTATTAACCACCAGTTGTTAGTCACTGTAGTTTTACTTACTGAATATTTTCTTCATTTTTATTTCCAATAAATATAACTCTGAGCTAATATACAATTTAAAGAGGGTGTAAAATGACTGACATCCAAAGGTGATATTGCAGTTTTCACTGTGGAAATGATGTTTTAAAGGAGACTTTTAAATCTGCAGAGAACTGAAATTCCCCAATAATGTTTTGTCATCTCGCTTCTCCATTTTTGTGCTGAAGCTCAATTTCTGCAATGTAGTTGTAAAATGCAGAAGTAATCAGTACAGCAATGACCAGAAAACTGCCACAATATTCCCGCTGTTTAGGTATCAGGGGATTCTGCTCTCCTTTGTCTGACTTTGTGTTGAAATCTAGTTTCTCCTGTGAGCCTCAAAGCCCGGTGTAAGACTGAATCAGAAATAGATGTTTTTGTGTGTTCACATGCTAGATCAGGGAGAGTTAAATGGCAATTTTGAGTGTTAAACAGCTTGGCATAGTAGGTGTTTTCTCCTGCGCTCATCTGAGCAGTAACTGGACTGCAGTGATGATTGTGTGTTTGTCTGTGTTTGTGTTTGTCTGTTTTTGTGTGCGCAGTGTATGGTAAATTTATTTGTCAGATTATCTTAGTTTTTAATCTTGTTCTTAACTTTTATTCTATAAAAACTGATTCTATTTTCATCCTACTATTTATTGTTTTGATCTAATATCTTCTCTGTTAAGTACTAGGACTGTATATATTCATTAACTACTAAGATTGAGTAGACTAGGACTTAATAAGCACTATTTCTTATTTATTATATACTTGTACTTATTCATTAGGCACTCAAACCTATTAAACAGATGCTAATAGTATTTGTTCATGAGATAGTATATTGATTAGACACTTATACATTTAATACCTTTTTTCTTACAAGTCATAAGTCATTCATGATATGACTAGTCAGAATAGCCACAGCAAAGTTCAATAAAATAAATCTTACCAGTAAATAGAAAAAATAGCAAAAAATAAAATAAAAAACAGTATCTTATAAATAAGAGCTATATAGTGAATAAATATTACTCTATAGAAGTGTTGTTATGAAATAATTAATTACTACACTGTAAAAATGTAGGGTTCCACACAGTTCATTCGTGTTGTCCCAACACAAATCTATTATGTTAACTTAACGCATTAAAGTGAATTGAACATTAATCAATGAAGTTGTCCCAAAGTCTCCTCATTTGTGTTGTTTTAGCTCATTTTAAATAAATTGCTTGCAAAAGCAGTTACATAATTTTTTGAGTATACTATTAAAGTATTAGTTTAAAGTGTAGTATACCTGGGTACCTAATACTGGGTAACTTTTAAATAACATAAATACTATATATATATTATGCTTTAATGTATATATTTTAAATATATAAAATCTAATCAAAATACTAGTCACATCTGCATGCATACTATTTATAACTGAATAGTTGAAATCTCAATAAAAGATCACCACAGAATCAATGGTAAAAACAATTTGTTATGAGTAACAGTAAAACAGTCATTATTGATGACAGTACAGTGTAAAAAATGATTAGTTACTTAAAGTAATCCTTTTGTAACTTGTAACTGTTATTATTGTGTGTATTTTATGTATTGTGCATACTCTCAAAACGTTGCTGCTTGTTCAAATTACTTCTTTAAAATGAGCTGAGACAACACAATTCTTGAGTTTTTTTGGGGACAACTTAATTGTTTTATGTTCCATCAACTTCAAATTGTAAAAACCATTGAGTTTACTTCATTGATTTGCATTGGAAAGACATGAAGGAATTGCGTGGAACCCAGCATTTTTACACTGTAGTTAATTTACTTAATAGTTTAAAGACAACAGGGTGTTTTCACAACTGTCTTATTTAGTTGGTTGAATCGCACTAGAGTTCGTTTTCGTGTGGTTCGTTTGGGCAGGTGTGAATGCAGCACAAACTCGAGTGCACACCAAAAAAGAGACCTTCTTAAAGAGGTAGTCTTGCTATGCTTTCAAACGAACACTGGAGCGGTTCGTTTGTGGTGGGAATATGATCTAAACTAAAACAGACCCAACCATAAAAAGTACTTAGCCTTTTTGGACTAATCCAGCTGCTATAGCGGATGCGTTGTGCATAATGAGATGTGGAGGAAAAATATTTGTTGGCAGCGCTTTAACAACAATTTTAAACGGAGAGAGAGAGGGGAAAAACATTACTGATGGATCGTTGGTAATATTTCTGTAAGATGACAATGTCGCAGTTTAGCTAAATTAATTCACGCCTCCTCCTGAAGTAACCTGCGATACGCTGGTTTGAAATGTATTTAAGTATCGTTTTCAAGCCGCAGCCGCGCTTCATTCTCGAAATGTATACTTTACCTAAAGGGATGAATACAAACTATGTAGTAAATTATGATCAGGGATACAATCAGAAGGATACAGTGTAAAAGTGCCTCATGAATAAGAACTGGTATCTATTTAAAAAATACAAGAATCTCAAGAATGAGTACTAGTATCCTAATAATAAGTTATAATGTCCAATAAATAATTACTAATGTCTATCTAATAAGTTATGGTGTCTAAATGAGTATCTAATTAATAAGAACTAGTTTCTAAGCCAGGGGTGGGCAAACTCGGTCCTGAAGGGTCGGTGTCCTGCACAGTTTAGCTCCAACTCTAATCAAACACCTGCTTATAGATTTCTAGTGATCTTGAAGACACTGATTAGTTTGTTCAGGTGTGTTTGACTAGTGTTGGAACAAAACTCTGCAGGGACACCGGCCCTCGAGGATCAAGTTTGCCCATCCCTGGTCTAAGCACTAAGAACTAGTAGCTTTTAAATTTGTACCTTAAGAATGAACATCAAGGAAAAGGTACTAGTACTGTACTTAACAGAAAAGCAACAACATTATGTAAAATTTAAAAAAGCAGGGTCACAATTTATTTTGATGGTCCGTTTGTTGAATTTAAGTTACATTGAATCTACATGCCAACTAATTCACATTAGATAATTAGTAGATTGTTAGATTGGGGTTGGTGTTAGTGTAAGTTGACATGCACTTGCAAAGTTTCTTATAGTCAGTTAAATGTCTGTTGAAGGAGCAGTATCAACAGATATTAGGCAGACAGTCTACTAATACTCAAATGGACCATCAAAATAAAAAGCAGATTCTTGTGATCTGTAGATTACATTTTTATGGCGTATCATAGTGACAACCGCATATACAAATAATTCTGAGCAATGTGTATAGAATCAAACTGAACACCTAGACCTTGACTCATTTGTGTTGCCAGTGCTTGTTAGAAAAGTAAAACTGCAAGCAAGAATAAGACAAAAATAAACCAAAATAAACCCAAAAACTTTTCTAAAAATTAATACAAACGTATAACTAGCAGCATCTGTTCACTCTAAAAACTCCAAGCCTAAACAACAAGGCCAAAGATGCTTAACATAAGTGGGCATGGCAACACTTCAAGAGCGCCGTCATCTGTAGTTTGCTTAACCGTATGAGAGCTGCCATATCAAGCTGCTCAAAAATACACATGTGAAATATCCTGTTAATATCACAGTCTGTTAATGAAATCATTGAGTCATTCTGAAACAACCATTGCACATCTCCAAGAGATTAAAATCTCAAATAACCCATAATATAATTTGTGCGTGAGCTAATGGAAAAGAAACATATAGGATACAATTCAACCTGCAGCTTGTGAGAAAATCTTAACAGCTTTTTTTCGAGGCTCTACTGATCTGAATGTTGACCGCTATTCACAATCTCTGTCCACCTCCTACCAGGTGTTCCTGTATATATGTGTGTGTGTGCGCGAGCATGAGTGTGTAAAAGGTTTTTTGTGTGGCGTTTGGCTCCTGTATAATGAGTCTTTAAGTGGTGGGTGAATGGACTCAATGTCCTTGGAAAAGATGAGCTGCAATTTGCAAGTCAGAGCAGAAACTACAAACAACCTAAAACAGTCAATTACTGCCTCTGTTATCGCACAGTATTAACCACAGCCAGCTGGAAAGAGAGACACCCCCAAAAAAAGGAAATAGAGAGAGAGACTGGAGTGTAGAAATGGACATCTCGGACATCAACAGAATAATAGCCATGTGGAAATGGCAACGTTTACATGCAAATTGTGTTTAAATGGATTGAGGCCGCAAATTAAAGAGCGTAAGAAAATCCTTTTAAATGCAGATAATGTTTAAGATGTGATATTACTGCATAAAATTTCCCTGATGGAGGACATTTAGCTTCTCTGTTATAATGGGCAGATGAGTAAATCTTTTATTTTTTAGTGATTCATCTGGGATATTGCATTCTCTCAGCCTCCTTTTGAATGGGATTTTAATTCACGCTGTTTAAATCAGAGCAGAAAGTTGATAGCTATAAAAGTCTTGACGCACTTTGATTTGTCAGGAGAAAACTAGAAAAGCCAACAATATATATTTAAAAAAAATGTTTTCACACACAAAAAAAGCATATTTAAAGCCATTTCATTGTTAGAAGAGAAAATAATCTTTGTTTTGTTTTCTCTTTCTTTTTTCGGATTGTTTTCTTTAATTATTGGTGTTTGCTGAGGCTCCAGCTGAGGATTGCTGTTTCTTATGCTTAGGGTTAGGATTTGTTTTAAACCCATAACTCCGTATTAAACATTGGAGTTGGGGTTTTGATGCCTATAATCATGCAACATGATGAAACAGACTACTGTTTAAAGGTTTGGGGTCAGTAAGAGTTATTAATGTTCCTCAAAGAACATCTTATACAAAAAAGGCTGCATAGAGCAAAATTATCAAACATTGTTATTGTTATTGTTATTATTATATTTATATTATTATAATTATTTTGATTATTATTATTATTTATTTATTTAAATTTTTTTCTGTTAAAATGCACTACCTGTCAAAAGTTTGGGGTCCGTTTTTTTTTTTTTCCTATGTTTTTTTTTTAGAAAATTATTTTGTTCATCAAGCAGCATTTACTGAATATAAAAAAAGTTAAATATTTATAAATATGTAAATAACTACTGTCTTATTGTATGCAGTTTCAAATTAAATTATTAGTCCAGTCATTATTGTTTTTATAACTTTTATCATTACTACTACTACTACTAATAATAATAATAATGATGATAATAATAATAATAATAATAATACTAATAATAATTTATATTAGAGTGATTTCTGAAGGATCTTTTGACTCTGAAGACTGGATTAAAATCCAAAGATAAAAATCTTCATTTTTAAAGTCACTGAAATAAATAATTAAATTAAATTATAAACTACTTCTGAACAGTTACTTTATAGTGCAATAACATTTCACAATTGTACAATTTGTAATGTATTTTTGCTGAAATTAATGCAGCTTTGATGAGCAGGAGAAACTTATTTTAAAACATTTAAATATCCTACAGACAAACAAAAATTTAGAATTTTTGATATTCGATATAATGTATATGGTGATTTTTAGTGCTCATGTGGTGCCTGAAAATCTGTTCTTTTTGGAAACCGTGATGTGCTTTTTTCTTGTATTAGATTTTAAAATAAAACTTATTTTATTTTATTTATATATTCACAAGGGTGAGCTTAAAACAGCTTTGATTTTGTTGTACTTGTGCTATTCAATTTTATTTTTTATTGAAAAAAAAAATCATTAAATCAAAAATAACTATCACTCATTTTCACCATGAAATACTGTAGATACTAAAATTATCTCAAGTAGAACAATGATTTATATTTCAGAATGTCCTTTCAGACATATTTAGAGCAAGAATCATTTGATGAAAGTTTAATCAACTCGGTTTAAAGGGTCATGAAACCCCCCTCTTTCAGCTCAAGTCTGCCCCTGAATTTTTTCAAAAAATGCTTCATGATGGGCATGCAGTGTTATGAGCAGAGGGAGGAGTGGGCTTGGCCGGCAGAGCTGGGGGAAAAAAGAAGAGCGAACAACTGTCAGTTAGCTCACAAAATGAGACCCAAACAGTGAGGAGATGCATAATTTTATAGTTTACGAAGTTAAAAATGCAACAAAACAAACAGTGAGTAATTTAATGTCCTGCTACATTTGTTATTCGGGATTTCATATACACATAACCACAATTTTTTATGTTTTATGGTCTCACCCAGTCATTGGGTCTTACAGCTTATCAGGTCTGCCTTGCTTTCAAAAAGCATGTGCAGTCATGAATAATCAAGAAGAAGGGTCTTCTTATGGGATAACAAAACTCCGCCATGAATAAAAATGAGAAACTGACGCATCATCACTCCACTAACAGATTCGGGCTATGACACAGATTTTGATCACTTTCCAAAAATTATTTTAAACCCAGAAGATAAAATTAGCTGACAAAAGCCCAAAATTATCCAGTTTTCCCCACAATTAAAGCTGACAGGTGCTGACGTTTTTTTAACTGATGCTCAACACACAAATCTGTATAAAATAAAAATAAAAAAAGTACTCCAGGGTGTCTTGAACCTTTAAGCATCACAGTGCAGCTCCAAAATATTAAGTAATTGTCATTGCCACTATTCTTCAAAAGACTATAATAAAATGACTTTTAAAATAAGTTAAAAGTTACAAGGATTTCAAATAATTATTAATTAACAAAATTTCACAAATTACTATGATCCCATATTGTTTATACAGGTAAAGACAAAATTGTCAGCCCTCTAGTGAAATCTTAATTTTTTTTCAAATATTTCAAGTGATGTTTAACAGATCAAGTACATTTTCACAGTATTTCCTATTACATTTATTTTTCCTTCTGAAGAAAATCTTATTTCTTTTTTAACTATTACTTAACTATTTTGAGGGCAATATTATTTGCCCCCTAAAGATATTTTTTCTTGATTGTTTACTTCAGGATAAACCACTGTTATCCAGTACGTTTGCCTAATTATCCTAATTGGCCTAGTTAGCCTAAATAGCCTAGATAATCATTTAAATCACACTTTAAGCTGAACAGCCTTGCAAAATAAGTAGCAAAATATGCATCGCTCTCATGGCAAAGACAAAAGAAATCAGTTATTAGAAATTATTAAATCTATTATGTTTAAAAATGTATTGAAAAAATCTCTCTCCGGTAAACAGCAGTTGGGGGGAAACATTTTTTAAATAAATGCATTTTGACTTCAACTGTATATTTTAATCAATAAAAGCACTTTAGAGACTTATCAGGCTTTCTTTTTGGAAACCCAACATATGGGGATGTATAATTTTGCAATTGAGGGATATAATAAAGTTCCAATATGGACTCCCATATGGACATTTAACGTAAAAAGTTGACATGATGTTCTCCATTAGGGGTCCTTTCAGAGAAACCCAAAAGTCTTTGTTATTATTATGTATGTATGTATATCTGGATCTCTGCCTCTCTGTTTTCCAGCAATGAAGACAGACAGGAAGCGTTTGAGGTTGGAGAGGACTGATCTGGTCAATCAGATGCAGCAGCTTTACACCACACTAGAGAGCCGTGAGGAGCAGCTCCGAGATTTCATACGCAACTACGAGCAACACCGAAAAGTAGATTCCATTTCTCATGCAATAATACATTTACAAAGTTTAAATCTGGATAAATTCCCACTTTTAACCTTCTGAATGTTTTGTTTTCGTGTCGCAGGAGAGTGAAGATGCAGTGAGAGTTTTGGCGAGAGAGAAGGATCTGTTAGAGCGTGAGAAGTGGGACCTTCGGCGACAAACCAAAGAGGCCACAGAACACGCCGGTGCTCTCCGTTCTGCACTGGACCTGAAAGAGAGCAGGATCAAGGAGCTGGAGGCTGAACTGACCATGGTAAGATGCACATCATGTAGAAAAACAGGCTTGAGGCCAATATTTAGTAAATATAAAAATAATAATACATATTCTTGCATCTACACATGCGAACCATATTAAGCCCGTGCACTGCAGTTTTAATATACATTCAAATATATGTTATATGATTCAAAAATAAAATAGAGACAAAAAATATGTACAGTTAATGATTTGAAAAAAACATCATGCTTGCTTGAGGGGGTTTTAGACTTTTGCCAAAAAGAGTTTATGTGAATAATTGTAGATGTAAATGCTTTTGAGATAAAGTAATACTAATAATAATTCCTTACATTTACATAGCACTTTTCTGGACACTCTAAGTGCTTTACACATTGAGGGGATATCATATGGGGATGGTTAGGAGGCCATGATGATCAGAGGCCAGTGGGTAAATTTTGCTAGGATACCTCAGTTTAACATCTCATCTGAAAGACGGAGATCACTGAGCAGTATAGAGTCCCCATCAATATACTGGGGCGTTAGGACCCATACAGACCGCAGGTTGAGCGCCCACTGCTGGCCTTACTAGCACCACTTACGGGAGCAACCTAACTTTCCCTTGTGGTCTACCATCCAGGTACTGACCAGGCATAGCCCTGCTTAGTTTCAGAGTTGCAGAGAGCTAGCCGCTGGCAAACGAAAAACTTAGTTTACACAATTGTTTATTTCCACTGATGGTGTCATTTAGGCCTGGGCAAATGATCAAATGCGTTTTACAAGTGCATTTTGTCAGTAAAGCTGGTTCTAGTAAACCTACACGAGTTGTAGGTCACTGACAAGCTACGCAAAATCATGTTGAAATTGAAATTAGTTTAAGCAGACAATAAAAATTTTATCTTTCTGTGATGATAGCAGCTGCATGTGAAATTAACACAAATAACAACACACTTTTACTCCAAACTCGCTTCATAAATCAAGTGTATCTTTCAATGAGATGATTCCATAATCTTTTGACTATTAGTCAAGCTGAATCGATGAAAATGGGTAAATCATCTGTTAATAATACAGTGCTGTTGACTTTATTCTGCAATGCGTAAATACTCTTGTTTTTGCGATTTAGTTTTAGAACTTTCGTTTCAGTTGCGTATGGGAGAAATAATTAGGAATAATAAACGGCAGAAAACAATCTAACTACTTTTCTATAAACAAGTGTGTTCATGACTATATTTAAAAAGGTGGATAATATAATAAGAAAACACCAGTTTAAAACCTCAAGAAGCTGTTTTTAATGTCTTATGGCTGATTAATACTTCAATGTCAAGCTCACAAATATGGTCCAGCGCAGACTGCTCGTGGTTGCATAGCCCTTGCCGTGGCTGATGCTGGCGCGCACCTCTCAATATATTTAACTATATGTCACAATGACGCGTGGAGCTAGCACTGTGATTGGTCTGCTTGGGTAGCTGTGATGAGAGCTGCAAGCCCAGCGGAGTGTTTACTAGTGTGTAGTCCCCAGATGGAAACTTTTGTTTTTTGTTTACCTTATGATTAAAGTCTGCATGAGTAAAGTTAAGCTACTTGTACATTAAGGTAGCATTCAGAAAAAACAAAACACCTGTGAAGTAACTCGACACAGAGGAACATTTTAACCTACTGCCAACTAGCATTTCAGAAGTGTTATTGCAAAACAAAACAAACAGCATGCAGAATTATAAATGCATGACTACGCGCAAAGCAGTCGCTGTGAGTTATGCCGATTTCTCGACACAGAAGTATAAATCAGCCTTACAGATCAATGAAAGTGAATTAGACCGGAAGTCTTGAGGCTCAAGATTAAGGTCAATAGGCATTCCCTGGATTACTTCTTCATGGGGTTTAAAGTTTCTTTGTGCTACCCTGACAAGATGTGCATGATAATTACAGCTCTTCTCAGTCATTTTTCATTTAGATTAATAACCCAGCCCTAGTATAATTCCAGTTTCTCGATTACTACGTTATCAATACCACTGTCTACCACTCTAACAACTTGATGGAAATACACCTAATTCACATTTGGGATAGTTTGTAATTGCTTTATCATTTATCAGCTGAGACAATTTGTTCTGAAAGTGATTCTAACTAAATAATTTCTCTGCATAGTTATTGTTATGGTGTGAAATATGATACTTTTTAAATGATTGTTAGAATAAAACCTTTGTCACTATCTTTATCATCCTTTTGTGAACGGCCTTTTAGGTTAACCTACTTTGTCTGCTGAGTGGGTTTACAAATATTTGACTTTAATAAATATGTGTTTGTATGCTATCTGTCTCAAAAGTAGCAGAAAAATTTAAGTGTCGGGCAGTGTGTGTGTGTGTATGTGTGCTGCTGTTTATATGTGTGTTTCTTTAACAGATGAGTAGCTTTATGGCTCAGAAACTAGAGAGTCGTGTGTTTGTTCGATCTCCTGAAAGACCAGCCTCACCTAAAACAGTGTCGGTAAGATCAGCCAGGCCTGTCAATCAATCCAAGCTCTCTCTGTGATTGGTCTGCTGTGTTGACCCGCCCTCTGATGTGTGCACACATTTTATGCTATGTGATTGTTTTAAGAAATGGAAAAAAGCATGTGTCATTTTGTGTGTGTGTGTGTAAGTGTGTAAGTGTGTTTGTTTTTTCTCTCTGCATGTTAGTTTTTCTCTGTGTTTAGGAGTTTGGAAAGCATCCTAACCCAGTGATGATGGAGAATTTGGTTGTGGTGGTGGTGGTGTTTTTCTTTTTGGCTTGTTGTTTGGCATGACTGTGGTGTGAAGGGATTTTGAACCTGGCCCAGAATGGAATCTGCACAGTTTGTGTTTTCTGCACGCATAAAGGGAGGGGAAAATGCTGAAATTTGCAGAGAAGAAATTAGAGTGGTATTTTAAGAGAGAACTTTTCCTTTTTGTTTGCTAAAATATTTTATTCCATTAACCTCATTTTCAGTTTGGCTAGAATAAAAGCAGTTTTTGCATATTTAAAAAAAATAAGTTTTGGTTAATATTAATAGCCCTCTTTTATCAGATGCAGAACAAACCACTGTTGTCTAATAACTTGCCTAGTTAATCTACCTTGCCTTGTTAACCACATAAACCTAGTTATGCCTTTAAATTGCATTTTAAGATGAATAATATTAGTAAATAACTATTAAAATAGCTAGTGAAATTTTATCTATTGTCATCATTATTAAAGCTATTATTTCTCTCCGTTAAACATCACTTGGAAAATATTTGAAAAACAATTAATATTTTACTGAGTTATTTCACAAATTTGATATAACTGTATATACAGTTGAAGTCAGAATTATTAGCCTTCCTGAATTGTTATACACCCCCCCCCCCCGTATTTTTAAGAAGTCCCCTATATTTTTTTCAATCACTTCTAAACATAATAGTTTAATAACTTATATTTAATAACTGATTTATTTTATCTTTGCCATGATGACACTACCTAATATTTCACTAGATATTTTTTTTCAAATAAAATATACAGGTTAAAGTGCAATTTTTAAAGGCTTAACTCTGTAATTGGGTTATTTAGGCAAATTATCATAATTAGACAAGTCTTGGTATAACAGTGGTTTGTTTTGTAGACAATCAAAAGAAAAAAAAAAGAAAATATAGCTTAAAGGGTCTAATAATTTTGACCTTAAAATGGTTTTAAAAAATGTATACTTTAGAAGAAAAAATATTATCAGACATACTGTGAAAATTTCCTTGCTCTGTTAAACACCATTTGGGAAATATTTTAAAAATTATATATACATACATACATACATACATACATACATACACTTCCATACAGCTTAAAGTGACATTTAAAGGCTTAACTTGGTTAATTAGGTTAACTAGGCAGGTTAGGGGTAATTAGGCAAGTTATTGTATAACGATGGTTCGTTCTGTAGATTATTGAAAAATAATATAGCTTAAAGGGACTAATCATTTTGACTTAAAAGTTTTTTTTTTTTAAAAACAAATAAGACTTTCCTTGAAGAAAAATTATTATAGGAAATACTGTGAAAATTTCCTTGTTCTGTTAAACATAATTTGGGAATTAATTAAATAAAAAATAGTAATAATAATTAAAAGGGGGGCTAATAATTGTTTGTTATAAATTGTTTAATAACTATATGTATGTTCCTTTATTTCAATTCATTTTTTTTTCAGTTGACAAAACAGAACAGAGAAGATAAAAAGAACTACTTGATGTAAAATGTTGATAGCAGTTGATAAAGTCCGACATATGTAGTGTGTTGAGCGGAACTGAGCGAGTGCAGACTCTGTTTGGGCCTGTGGTGATTAAGTTTAACTTTAGCTCCAGACTGCCACTACGGTGAGCAGTTATTGTAGGCAGCGCCACACGTTCCCTTTCACACATTTTACTCTTGTTTACAACACACTGTCTCTGGACGAGGAAGCGGACCTGATTGAATTAAATCTGTCTGTGTGTTTCAGGCAAAACAGTCTTTGGCTACTCTCACTAAAGATGTTCCGAAGCGCCACTCACTGGCCATGCCCACAGAGACCGTCGTCAACGGCAACCAGGAGTGGGCGATGCATGCTGAGCTTCCTCTGACTGCGGCCATACGACAGAGTCAACAGAACCTCTACCACTCCATGGACAGACAGGGTACACACACTCTTTACATACAAATCACTCATGACCTGCCTGGGTCTGAAAGATTCTTCTGTTCAATCAGTTCCTTTTAGCTTCCTAATTTTTTCATTAAAGACATGAAACGGTAGACAAAATATTTTAATTTCGAGGTTAGAGGCTTTTTTCAGTCTAATGTAAATATCAAAATACAGTGTTTATTTTGTCAGAGTTCATTTTTTTGTCTCACGACATCAGTTTGGGTTTGTAGATTTTAATTACAATACATATTATTAAAGGCGGTTTTCTCAAATATTAGTTTATTATGTGCTACACCATAAAATACTTCAGAAGCACTTAAACCACTTTACAATTATATTTGTATCTATATTATGAAGGTTTTTAAAGAGGAATGTGTTTTTGCATAATATGCCTAATTATATGCAACATTTTATTTAGTAAAAATAAATAAATAAAGATAAATTAATTGAATAAGAAAATAAGTAAATGAAGTAAACAAATAAACAAATAATAAAATGAACTAATACAAATAAATAAATAAATAAATAAATAAATAAGTAAATAAAAATGATAATAAAATTAATAATAAATGAATAAATAATAAAATAAATAAATAAATAAATTAATTAATTAATTAAATAAATAAATAAGTAAATGAACCAATCATTAATAAATATAAATAAATAATATAAATGAGTAAATATAATTAAATCAATAATATAAATAAATAAATTAATAATAAAATAAATAAATAAGTAAATAAATCAATTAATAATAAAAATGAATAATCAAACAAACAAACAAATAAATAAATAAATAAATAAATAAATAAATAAATAAATAAATAAATAAATAAATAAATAAATAAGGTGTATTTCAGAATTATGTAGAGATATAAAGACGTTCCTAAATTCCCCCTCAGATATTAAAAAAACAATAATTTTGAATTTGACCTAATTTAATGTTTAGATTTTTGTTTTAGAAACATGCAGTCAAACAATTTGCAACTCCTAATGGAAACAGTCAACTGGGAAAATAGACTAATCACTATTAGTGGAATATTTAACAAAATCTTTTTGTGTTTTCTGCTTGTATTTGTGTGTGTTAGTCCTGAAAGCATCACCATGTGTTTGTGACGGTGATGGAATCAGTATGATGTCATCAGCCGCGGCCAGAATCAGTCCGTGTCACTCGAAACAAGCATCTGTGATGTCAGACGCTTCAGTAATGGAGGGAGAAAGATCCTCAACGCCGTCAGACTCACCTCGACACAGAACACACTCCCTCTGCAACGTAAGACACACACACATACTGTGGCATTCTTTGCATTGCAAAACAAATACACAAATGGACTAATGTGTACGGTGGCTTGGTACTGTCCACCTGATTCCCAAACCTATTCCAAAACATGATTTGCATGTGGATTTACATTTTTCATTTAGCCAACTTTACCCAGAACAACTAAAAAAATAAGAAATGTCTCTATTAATGTGTTGTAATTCAAGACAACTGAACTCAGAAATATTCATAGGTTTATTCATTGACTAATTTGTGGAAAAGATTGTTGACTTGTTGTTTTAATTGTAATATTACAGTAAACTACTGTAAAATATTATATTTTTATTTTATAGTTTGTAGTATTACAAATATTTTGCAATGATTTATTTTTAGTAGTAACAATAGTAGAAGTAACAGCAGCAGCAGCAATAGTAGTAATGATTATCAGTTTAATTTGTGATTTAATAATTATTTAAAATTATATTATTCTCGCCCAGTCATTGGGTCTCACAGCTTGGCAGGTCTGCCTTGCCTTCGGAAAGCACATGCAGTCATTAACAATTTAGAAGCAGGGTCTTCTCATAGTACAAGAAAACTCTGCTATTAATAATGAGAAACTGACGCGTCATCACTTCAGAAGCATATGCGTGCTACGTTACAGATTTTGATCCCTCCCCAAAAATTATTTTAGAGCTCAACATTATCCAGTATTCTCCAAAATTAAAGCTGACAGGTGCTGATGTTGTCTTAAATGATGCTTAATACACACAAATCTGTTTAAAAAAAAAAAAGTGTTTTTTTGCAGTGTAAATGTCTGCAAACATATTAAGGTAATCTTATTCTTTAAAAAAGTGAAAAAAGCCCACATGCAGCACCTTTTAAATGAAAAATCTGGAGTATTACTGCTACACTTCAGCTGCTATTGTAGCGTGAGATTGAGACATTGTGACAGCCTTGGTCGTGCACTGAGCCGCGACACAAAATAACTTTCGCCTGCTCATTTCTGATGTATCACCTTTACTTCCTATTGCTCATTATTTCTGTCTCTGTCCCCGTCTGCAGTCCCTAGAGGACCTGGAGGAGCAGAGGCGCAGGAAGAAGAAAGAGCGCATGGGCCTGGGCTCTCTGTCCCGGGTGTTCGGCCGAGGGAAGCAGAGAAAGTCCATGGACCCCACTCTATTTGATGGTACAAACGCACCCGACTACTATATAGAGGAGGACGCAGACTGGTGACGCCGCTGAGAGCCCTTACACTCTCGTTTCTGTGTGTGTGAATGTGTGTGTGTATGTGTGTGTGTGTTACTGACATCTTTATGAGCACAAGCTGACTGTACAGTGTTTCCAAACTGTGCCGCAGTAGATCCAGAGAAAGAGTGTGTGTGTTTGTGTGTGTGTGTGTGTGTTCATTTTTTACCCACTTTAGCATCTCACTGGAAACTTGAAGGACTGCTGAATGTGTAAATACTAGTCATTGTGCACTCAGTGCTTGTAAATGTTTCCAGATGCCTTTTATATCATCTAACGCTCATCGTGTCTGGCTGTTTTTAAAAACATATTGACAGAGCTCTCCTGTAGGATGCCAGCAGGACCCTCAGTGAGTGTGTGTGTGTGTGTGTGTGAAATTATAAGGAATGTGTGCCATTTCCCACTGTGATCAAAACAATGTATGTTTATTTAAGCACAAACTGGAGCTTCTTCTGATGTTTTGGACATTTGGTGTCGTGGTGTGACTCGTAGTGAGCAGTGACTCATCCTGCTCGTCCCACAGGAGAGTTTATGATCACCGTTACACACACTAACTCTGACTACTGCCTTCACTGCAACACTAACCCACCAGAGGCAAAACCCAGATACAAATCACAGATCAGTGCTTATCCAATGGGGAGTTCATGGACCAATGGAAATTACATGTTTATATACTCATCCTCAGGCATCCAATATGTAGGTGACTTTTTCTTTTACAGTATTAAGAGTATTAAGAACGATTTTTAGCTGCAACTTTGGTCATTTGTAGTTTATATTATGGCAAGTCAAAATATATTTATATAGCTATGCATTTATGATTTATTGTTATTTTGTATTCTTAAAATGTAGTTTCAGTTTTATAATGTAAACCACTGATGACATGCCCAGTTACATATTTGAAACACAAAATGTTAATTTAGAAATTATAATAATAATTTTATAAGAATAATAATTAAAAAATAGAACATCAACAATGTTTACCAATTTGGAGGAATAACCCTAATTTTCGGTCAACAAATGAAAACGTGTTATTCTGACCAAATGAAAGTAAAACGATCTGGAGGACAATATTTTGGCCTGAAATCTGAAAGAAATGTTCTCAGACCTTTATAGAATAAAACAAAACTGAGAAGATTATATATATATATATATGTTAAGGGTGGAGCCGAACCCGAATACGGTATTCGGAAAGGCATGAATAGCGTGTTTTTACGAATACTTGATTCGAACGAATACTTGAAAAATTATTTGTATTCGGGAGCAAGAAAAACACTATATCAAAAAGCAGCGTTTCCTCATGAGACCACAGTGCATGCCCGCGTGAGAGAGAGAGAGAGTGAGAGAGAGAGAGAGAGAGAGAGAGAGAGAGAGAGAGAGAGAGAGAGAGAGAGAGAGAGAGAGAGACAAAACGCGCCAAAGCCCGAAACTGAAAGCGAGACGTGACTTTTAAGGGGTTGTTTCATATGGATTTATTAATCATTCTTACTGTTCAGTGATCGCAAACTGCAGTAGTTTATTAAAGACGCAAACCCCTCACTGCACGACAGCTGCGCGCCTTCAGCAGACCTCCTCATTCCTGCAGCACGAGAGCTTTATGATTGTTTATGCGCGCCAAAAGTGGCGGATCTGTCCGGTAAAATATCTGACTGCGTGTCACCGTATCCCTAAGGACTGTTTGGCGAAATATTTGACTGCATGTCAATGCATAACAAACGACTGAAAGGATATAACTAGAGAACTCTCCACTGTGCTACTGGGTGAGATCGTATGGCAAGCCGTTTTAGCATTTAAACCTTGTTCAGACTATCCATAAATATATTTAGAGATATCTCTAATTATATTTTGACTTGTCATAATTATAATTCGACTAGTCAGATTGGAAATATCTGCAAATATATTATGATAGACTAGTCATATACCTCCATTGACTTCCATTGAAAAATATTTGCAGATATCTCTAAATAAGTTTTGACTAGTCACAATTGTAATTAGATATATCTCCAAATGAATTTTGACTAGTCAAAAATCCAATTCAAGATATCTACAACTGTAATTAGACTTTTAGTAAATTAATTAGAGATATCTTCAAATATATTTGTAAATATATCTAAATATGATGAATTAAAGACATCTCTAAATGTATTATGACTAGTAAAAACTCAGAGATATCAATTACAATTGTTACTAGTCAAAATTCATCTGATTTCGTACTAGTACAATTGTAATTGCAGATATGTCTAATTGTCATTCTGAGTAGTGGAATTATAATTATGACTAGTCAAAATATAATTAGAGATATCTCTAATATATTTATGGGGTCAGAACAAAGATTTAAATGCTAAAAAGGCTTGCCATAGAGAGCGCTTCTCACTGAACAGAGCACCGCAACCTTCTATGTAATGTATTATCACATGCACTAAAAGCATCCTAAAAGCATCAACACAGCCACATTCTGCCCCAGCAAGTCAGTTTCAAACATAAAAAAACAAACAAACAAACTTTGTGTCTTTTTTTGTGGCTGGCAGATGACAATAGCAGGGCTGTATCTTTTAGTATTATATAGAATACTTTTGTTCTGCCAGATCTCCCAGGCAGGGGTTTTATTTAGATTTATTTAGTTAATATTAGTTTTTGGAATTCTGTCCATTGGAAAGAAGTTCTTTTAGAAGAAGAACAGTTTTTTTTAAGTATTATTTGTTTTTATTCTGTCTATTCAGTGTCCTTCAACAAGAACGGTGGTGGTGGGGTTCATAATATTCACAATGGTATTTTATTAGTTGTTGGTTTAACCATGGATGAGATAATGGCTTCTATGTTATTTTCTTTTCTATGACATTTCTTATCACATGTTCAAAAACAACAGCCAATATTGCATATCTATAATTTATATAATGGGTATAATTAAACAATACTTTCAATATAATGTAAATTATAAGTGTAATAGAAAAAATATATATTTTTGCGCCATTTTGAATTTTACTCAAATACAAATACAAATACAAATACAAATACAAATACTTTTCCCCCCTCAAC